TATGCCTCACTTGTCTGTATGTCAAGTTCTTTTCCTCTGCTTGGGAAGTTTTCTGCCATCACTTCTGTGAACAGTTTTTTTATGTCATCTGCACTCTTTCCTGTTTCTTCATTGACTCCAATCAGTCTTATGTTATTCTTCTTTGCATTGTCTAGCAGCTGCTGGATTGATTTTTTCATGGTCCCTTACAATTTTAAAGCAATTTTTCTTTTCCTGGTCACTAATTGCAATCTAATTTTCTATATCTGAAATTCTGTCCTCACATTGCCTCATTCTCTTGCATAGATTCTCAATGGAGTTTTTAATCTCCTGGAAATCAGTTTGCATGTGTTTTATGGATTCCATTTGTTTCCTATGTTGAGATTCCATCATGTTCCTCAGCTCCTCTATTTTTTTTTATATGTGTCCCCTCTAGATTTATTAATCATGTCTTGCACTATGGGCACCATCTCTGCTGTTATGTGCAAAATTATTTCTGATTTCATTTTTTCCAGATCCTCTTTTGTTGCTAGTTCAGGGAGTCCAGGTGGTTGAGTATCAGATTGTTCCATCTCGTTTGCCTTTGGGGTTGCTGTAGGTGATCTGGAAGTCTGGTTCTGAGGCTTGTTTGCGTGTCTTCTCATTTTGACAAGCGTGGGTGGGTTGGGGTGCTTGCAGCTCACCTTCTCTGTGCTGGGAGCAGTGGTAGTTTGGCCTGGAAGCCTCCTACTCTGCTCTGGGAGCTGTGGCACATTGACCTGGAATCCTCCTCTGCGGTGGAAGCTGTAGCACATTTACCTGGAAGCCTCCTCTGTGCTGAGGGTAGTGGTAGGTTGGCCTGGAGGCCTCCTACTCTGCACCAGGAGCTGTGGCACGTTGATCTGGAAGCCTCCACTGCACTGGGAGCTCAAGCACTTCCACCTGGAAGCCTCCTCTCATCAGAGTACTTTTATAAACATGAGACAAAATTGGTTAATGTCCAATAGAGGATTAAAATTATAACTTTTAATGTAATCTGTTTTCTATTGGTATGTGTTTGTGATATACAGCATACATATAAACATCAAATTTTGATCCTTTTTACTTCTTCCACTTTCCTATCTTTCCATTTTTAGATGTCTCCTTCAATCTCTTCTTTTCAGAGTAATCTCCCTCTTATGTCCCTTCATCCCCAGATCTCTTTTCATCTTCACAATCTATCTTCCTGTGTCTTATCATCTGTCTTTTTTTCTTATTTTAAAAATTATTTATACTTTAGGTTTCTCCTATAAGAGAAACCATGCAATATTTAATATTCTGTGTCTGATTTATTTCACTTAGCATTATAGTCTCAAGATGTATCCATTGTCCTTATCCTTCTTTATGGCTTACCAGTACTTCATCATGTATATATAGCACATTTTCTCAATCAATAAATGTGTTGATGGGTATATAAACCACTTCCAAGATTTAGCTATTGTGAATTGTGCTGCTATAATCATAGGTTTGCATATATCACTGTAATAAGATGTTTTTAATTCTTTCAGGAAAATACCTGGAAGAGGAAGAGGTATAGCTGGGTTGAATCGAACTTCTATTTTGAGTTTTTTGAAGAATCTCCATAATGATTTCCATAGTTTTTTACTTGTTCACATTCCAATCAACAATGTATCAGGGTTCCCTTTTCCCCCAAATCTTGCCAGCATTTGTTGCTCTTTGAGTTCTTGCTGATAGCCATTCTTTATGGAGTAAGATGGGATCTCAGTAACAATATTTGATTGTCCCTATCCAGGAACAGAGGATATATTTCCACTTTTTTAGAGGTCTTCTTCATTCTCTTTTTTTCAGAGTAATCTTTTCTTCTTGACATTTGCATTTCTACTATTAACCTATAATTATAAAATTCTTAGGTAGGCCTATGAAACACTATACTTGGAAGACATGGTAAAAATATGCTATTTCTAGGTTTTGAGTAATTTTTCTATATAGTTACAATAAGACTGTGCCCAAAGTATTATTTATCTTAGAAAAAAATTAAATGGGATATCTGACTCTACCATGTAAGTATGTATTTTCTGCCTAAATGTATCATAGATACTAGATACATCCACAATTATGTTCTTATAATGTTGCGTTAAAAAGAATATAGGCATACTCAGAAAATCACTACTAATTTCCAAGATGGTACAATCGAGGCTTATGGGCCATGGACCATGTTAACAGGACTTTATTTTATATACATTTCAGTTTGATCTGTAAATAAACCCAGAAGTAGGTATTATTATCCCATTTGAAAATCAGGCAAAAAAGTCTTAGTGATTTAAAATAATTTAATCAAGTTTATGCAACCCATATGAGCCAGAATTAAAATTCAGGTTAATTCTGAGTCTTTTATTCTCTCCCGTCCCTTATTATATTGCCTCCTTAAATCTTAAATTCTCCTAAACTTTAAGGTATATTTCTAACTAAACATGCAGATAAATGGGTCTAGTTTTGCTTATAGGATCAAGCATGCACAACATGGTCTTTTTCCCAATAAGAAACTTGCCATTTTGAAAGTGCCTGTGAGAGTTCCCCTTTCAGTCTTCTACCTATTGGATTAATATGTATGCTTTAAAGAAAAATGAAATTTTTGTTTATCTCATTACAGTCTCTTCCTCTCAAGTTGCCTTCTTTGTAATTTTTCTTTCTTTCCCCTCTTCTGGTCCCTGATATTTCAATAGGTGGGCTGGATTCTTTCCATCCTGGATGAACTGCAGCTGAGCCCCCAGCCTCCTGTGGGGGTTCTTCCTCTGGGGACAGGGAATGACCTGGCTCGGACTCTCAACTGGGGAGGGGTAAGAACTCCTCCCAGAGGCTGGCCCTGCTATGGAGGAACAAACACCGTCCAGGTGTTGGATGTGCTCCTGAACAGCCCCATGGAAGCAGTCTGCTGCCATTGTCCAAGGAATAAGTTAGAAATGGGAATCAAAGGGCCCAGGAACCTTAATTTTATTGGGTTGCTTTTTCAGTAAAAACACTGGGAGACAGAGAAAGCCTTGTATAAGAAAATCATGTGGTTAGTGCACAGAGCTGGGACTTCAAGGCATCAACCACCAGAAAACAGTGGATGGGTTGGTTCCAAGGCTTCATGTAAAATAATCTTACAAGTGTGAATTCATCCTGATCTCCATCTCTGGGCAGAATAGCCCATCTGGTTTAGATTTCCAACTGAAAATTATGACATTTTTTGAGATGTTGGGCTTTTCTGATCAGTGTTATCATAGTTTTGGCTATTCAGGTATCTGACTGCCCTTCCCACTGTGGCACCAACTGCAGGCAAGCGTGGGAGATGCACCTCGCCTGTAACTAGCCATTCACTTACTCATTTTATAGGACTAAGATGGTAAGAATGTACGAGACACTAACATATACAGAATTATCCCCTTTCTATCTGCTAAGGATAGAACATTGCCTGGGCTGGGATCTCTCTCATGAAACTTTTCTTCAGATATCTAGTAGGTATTAATCTGGCCTTTGGATGAATTCACCTTTCACAGGTTTTTGATTTGTTTTGTATTAGGAAGGCAGAATATAAACTAATATATGTATGTGAAATAACTAAGGTATTATCAGTGCTAATTTCTCACCTCCAGATCAACAGCTGGACAGACCTTAATAATCATGCTGCCAGTAGTGGATCCTCAAGGAATAAGTAGCTCTCTAACAGGGCTGGTCCTCAGTCTGACCTGGCTCAGGTCATGGAGGGATGGTGTCCTAAGATAAGGTTAGGGAAGAGTGAGTGAGATGGAATGTTAATAGGAGAAAGCTGCTGATCCGATCCTGCCTCACTTGATTTTCCATTTTCCACATACATGTGTTCCATTTATCACTCAAATTCCTCCAGTGAGAGGTATGAGGAGTCCCATTTTTTACTGCAATAAAAATAGCCATCCAGCATGACCTGCAATGCTTATTGGTAGTTATTGGTTCTTTCCAGTGCTGGCAAAAATTATCCCTCAGCTCAAACCACCCAGAGCTAGTGTTTTGAATATGTGACTCAAGAAAAGCAATTCATCCCCTCTAGCCTTTCTAATTACAAAATAAGCAGAATTAATCACAGAAAGGCTCTTCTACCATTGGTTACTCTTTGTACTCCTGACAGCAATGGGTATGTTTTCTGATTTTGTTGCCAGGGCTACACTGATGAACCTGTTTCTAAGATTCTATGCCAAGTAGAAGATGGGACAATTGTACAACTTGATCGCTGGAATCTCCATGTGGAAAGAAACCCAGATTTGCCTCCGGAAGAACTTGAAGATGGCGTATGTAAGGTTAGAAAGGTCTTTCTTCCTAAGGATAGAGCTCTGAAGCATCTTCCTGAGCCCCAGGAAATGCATGTCTGCTTCTAGAGTTGCTCGCTGGTTCCTCCCCAAAAGATAATGAGAAAGCTCTTTGAGTTCATGCCTCCCATCCTTAGAATGTGAGATAATAACACCACTTATTGATCCTGCCCCATAGATTTTTACAGACTCAGATTTTGTACTTAGCTCTAGCACTCAAAGAGCTGTTCTCTGTCTTCAGCTTCCACATTAGAAAGGTATGTATCCATTTAAAAAATTTTTTCAAGTTAATTGTAAGGAACCTATGAGAAAATGCAAAATATATGTGCTCAGAAGATTTGGATACATGATCATCCAGCAGAAAGATGCTGAGATTTCTGGGCTGTTATCAAATACTGTTTAAGCACACGAGGCTTTATCCAAGTCAGTTTCATTACCTGGTTCAGAGTCTAAGATGTCTAAATAAATGTTTTCTTTAGTATTTCCTTCTAGTGACTGAGCTTTTATTTCACCCCACCCGACTCCACCCCAAATCAAACCAAACCAAACCAAAAGTCATATTGTAAATGCACATTTGATTCTAAGTTCTGGCCTCAATTTCTGATAAATTTAATAGGGTGCTGAGTACATTTTCTTCATATTATGGTTTACTTTTCTTCTATGATGTTTTCAGACATTTGTATGTATAAAAATCTACAGATATGCTTGTTAGAATGCAGATTTAAAGCTCACTCTCCAGACTTTCTCATTAAGTAAATGCAAGAATAAGGCCCAGGTGTCTGTATGTTAAGCAACGTCTTTGCTATGTTGAACCATGCCATTGATTGTGACCAAAATTTCATGGAGGATGAGGCAGGAAAATTACAAGTTTTGAGCTCAGTTCAGCCTGGGCAACTAGCAAAACCCTGTCAAAATTAAAAACAAATTTAAAAGGCAGTGGAGATGTAGCTTAGGATGAAGGTCTGTATCAATCTTCACTACCTCAAAAAAGAGTATGTTCCAGCCTAAAAATTGATTGAACTCCATGTTATTTTAGACCAAACCAAGGCCTGTTTATTCCTGACCAATTGTATAGAAGCTCAAGTTTCTTGGCCAAGCCATTTGTTTTTATCTTGTCTTTGTTGTTTTTCACTTAAATTGTGATCCTGAAATGAATAGTTTTCAGTAAGTATCCCAATTGTCCAGTTGAAGTTGAATTCTTAATGTAACAATACTGTTTAACAACAAAGGATGAGATACTTTTAGTTAATGTGTTTGGTTGAACTTGTAGAAATTGGATAGAAAACAGCTGAAATAGAAAAAAAGAGTACCACATGGAAATTTTAGGGTCCTTTTCTTACTAAACTTGGTTTGGCCTATAATAGAAATCCTTATTTAATTCTCTTCTCAACAGCTTAAGAAATAGAAATACTTCTTAATGCAGCCAGGGGCTATCAATCCAGATAATTAAAGGGCTTTGGAAATGGTTTTTTGGGGAGATGTGTAGGCAATTTTACATTTCCCTGTAAAATACGAATAACATGAAAACAGTCTAAATTGCGGTATTATTTAAGAGATGGTGACCAGATGTTTTCCTTAGCTATCAGTGGATGCTAAGACATGGGTTAGAATTGTAGCCAGAAGAACGTAAATGGTAGACAAAGAAAACATGCCTGTAGTTTTGGCAGAATCACCCACTGTCTTTACTAAGGACTGGTATTTTAATGCAGGAACTGGAGATCTTCAACTATGAAGCCAGGAGAGTCAGATGTGATTTTGGCATAGTTCTATATGTTTAGTTTCTCTCCCTTTCTCCCCAGTTGGCTGAAACCCTTTCAAAGGGCTGATTTAACCTCTGAATCGTTACAGGCTGGGACAGAGGGGCTTCCATACAGGGCCTCTCCTCACTTCTATTAGAGATCAAGGCAAGCCAGTTTCTTTCCTTCTGCATGATCTTTCTGTTGCTCTTGTTCTTATTTCATTTTTCTCTTAATGAGACAACGTTCTCCCTCTAGTCAAGCAAAATCTTATCAATCAAGGACATGTGAAACTCTGATAAACTTACTTTTGAAATTGTGAAAGTTCAAACTCTTCTGATAGAGGTGCAGTTAGTTTGGGACATAAACTTGGTACTTTTTTGTAAACATTACCATTCTTTATTTGATGTTTGTCTTCTACTCTGAGTTGCAGAAGGAGAAGTGAGGAAACCACCCATTCCCTCCTCGAATTTCCACATACTTTTCTAATTGTTGTGACATAGAACTGAAGCTTTAGAATCATGTCCATTTTGCAAGTTTAATGGGGGACTTGAGGCTGTCTAGTTCTGTCCCTTACTATCTTATAGCAGGAACAGCCATGGATCCAATTAACTACGAAAAAGATAGTTTAAGCTTCTGTGTGTATCTTTGTGGCTATTTGCAGATTTTATGGTAGTATCAAAGATATAGTTTTGACAAATGGGAATCTGAATACTACTGATGTGTGTGTATATATATATATGTATGTATATATATATATATAATTTTCTTTTCTATCTAAATCATCATTAGCTTCATGGTTCTCACTGCCTTATTTCTTTTCTGAATTTCATCAAAAACTTCATTTAAAAAATAGATGATATCTAGTGTGAGAAACTGAAAGTTAAATAAGGACTAAAAGGTATAATAGATAATGTGAAACAGGAAGACAGGGGGCAAAGGGGAAGGGGAAGTGGGAGGAGTAGGGGAAAGGAAAGAAGGGAATGAAATTAATATGAGAAAATGAAAAAATGGAAACGAAGTCTTTTTAGGTCAGGAGAGGTGGAGTGGTTGAAGGGAGGACAGGGGAATGGAGAAAAAATAAGAACCAAGATGGATTATGTAAAGGTGCAAATTTCCAATGATGAATGTCATTATATTGTATACCTAAAATATACCAATATAATTAATTTTTAAAATAGATAAGTAACAAATTAAAAATTATTTATTTTGAGTTATAATATTCATTTGTTAAACAAAGTCTTGAACAAAGTATATCCACTTTGGTCAATTAGACATGATTCTTACAATTGAATTTGTTAAGTTCATTTAGTGAATCATTCTCATCACTATTACAAATATACACTCCTCAGCATAACAAGTTTCTATTATTACAGCATGTACAAGAGTGGTTATTTATTAATTTATATCTATAGACCTTATTTCCTATACTCTTCATAATTCTTGCAATAATTACTTGATCTGAGCTTTTGCTGATGAATTAATTCAAGAAACATGTTCCTTCTGCTTACAAACCCTCTGCTCTGAGCTGTGACTGACCTGTCTCTGGCACCGCCCCAGAGATAGGTAGCTGGCATCAGCTTTTATTTTTCTCTTCCTACCTTGCTACACACAGCTTTACCTTTGCCTCTGTTTATCATTGCAGCTCCCTCTGAATGTTTTCAATAATTACTTCAGCCTTGGATTCGATGCTCATGTCACACTGGAGTTCCATGAATCCAGAGGTGAGGACACCGTCCCATTTCCATCTCCCAGGGAGGCAGTTTCCAGCAGGTGTTTTGCATGTTCCCTTTCGTTTGCATATTGCTTGTGTGTTTGTGGTGTGCCTCAGTCTTGTTCCATGTTACCTTCGTCATGACCCTAGGAGCTGGGCCAGATGGAAACTGACTACAGATGGGGCCCTGAGACCTAGTTCTTCAGGATCTCCAGATAGGGAAGGACAGGGTCAGAGGTATATTCCAGGTCTCAGAACTGTTACTTTTCTAGTTTGACTGGAAATTTTTGGAGTGAACCAGTAAGATAAAGAACCTCTTTCACTAGAGTCATTAGGATACTCAATTGCTTCACAAGCCACCAATGGTTAAAATTCAATGCTTCATAACCAGAGCCATGCATACATGGTGGCAAGAGCAGAGAAGAAATCAGCTTGTTAGAATAACAGAGGGCTATGGATAGTTTAAAATGAAAGAAAAGGGTATGATGATGATTGAATTAGATAGAAAAGTACTGGGAACCCCACCAGAATAGTCAGAGGTGTGAATGGTAATTTAGAAAGAAATGGGGACCGGACTGAATGAAGCAAAACAATTTGGTAAGAGAAATCAGATGAAATAATAAGTTGTAAAATATTTTCTTCAAATTTTCTTATGTCATTCAGAACTGAGAAAATGTAGGATTTTGATTTTGGCTTGGTAGCCTCCATCAATCTGTTTCTTGATTTACCTCAGTCTCTCCTTCTCTTACACCCTTCCTGTTAGTATCACTATACCACATATCTGTTTATTCCTGTTATCTATAGCTGTTTCGGTACCTACTTCCTTGTGAATGTATTTATATGTAATCAAAATAATGCTAGGATGTAGGTTATTAAGAAACATGGGCAATGAAAATCATAAGTGAGGAGGCACCTTATTCTTTTTGTACAGGTTCAGAAAAGCTCAAGTTGTTTTAAAATATAGAATTTGAAAAAGTGTCAGATTCTGGTAATAAGACAGAAAAAATTGTGATGTGGCTCTTATGTACTAGCAGTCCCCAGAGGAACTGTAGGAGTTAGACTGTTAGATTACAAAATGTAACTGAAGTACAAATGTATGAAGGACTTTCCTGAATTCAGCAATTCTGGTAGACTTTGGCCTTCTGAGTTTTAGTGAAGATTTGAAATGACAGTCTCTGTGGAGGTCCAGTTTCTGCCAAACACAACCATAGTTTGGTCTTCCTCTCTGATTAGTGGGAAAACCACAGAATGGATGGTTAATAAAAGACTGGCAAATATCCCAAATCAGAAACACCATGCCCATTCCACATGCCTGTCATAGACAAATCTTAGAGATCATAGTCAAAGAGACCTACATTAATGCCAATATTTATGACCCTTTGTTCTTCCTATAGGTAGTTAGGGGAGTAAATGGGCGATTCTCTTTTCTTTTCTTACCTCTTCCTGACTCCCCTTCCCCAGACATTATTTAAGAGACTCTGAATTTTCTGACCTTCTTAATACAATCTCCAGGTTCCTTAATACTGTGCAGTAGCACAATTACCACTACTACATGAGTTTTCCAAAGTAGGCATCCTGGCATGAAAATTAGCCTAAATGAGTAAGTGGCCCACGATGAGCTCATCCAATAATTATTCTGAAAGTTATCCGGATGATATGCTTCCTTGTATGTGATAGAATTTCATCAGAGTGACGGAAAGCAAGGAGAGACACCAAGGTGGGCCAGGTTTGGAAGGGAATTCTTTTGGGGAAAGTGATCTTTTTCCTTTTCTTTTAAGCTATGATATTACTTAATTTTAGAGTAGAATATGCCACTATTGTTGTGTATGTTTATATATGTACACAGTTTTATGTGAGTGTGATTATAAAATAATTGATTTAAGTATATCAAGTATTAATCTCTGAATAGTTTAATGCTGAGTCTTCATGTGTTTTAATGTGATATGACATACAATTGAAAACATTTTTCCTGTGTGTAAGCCAAAGCCTTTGAAGAAAACCAGCCATAAGTATCTGCTAAGGGAGAATTTTGTTAGTTGAGAGTAATTAGCTTCATTTGTGAAGGAGAGCTAGAGATCATGAAAAAAATATCCATAGTTATTTGAACTAAATTTTGTTGATACTACTGGGCTGTACACATCTCAGTATCTATTTGTCTATTCTTTTTATATTAAATAAAAATAATTATTTCTACATGAAAAGTATTAATCAAGCTATTTTTAAAAACTGATTTCTGTTCATTTAGATTTTCCCCATGTTTTTCTCTGGTCAGCCAAGAAATCTTAAGCTAAGTTGGAGAAGAAAAGCAAAAATAAGTAAGACCATATTTCCAATAGAGGTGGGGCAGGCTAATTTTTGTTGGTAGATAGTGACTGTGCTGAAACCAAGATCACTCATAGTTGAGGCTTCAAACTTTCTCTCTCACAGTCATTTGCAATTTGAGGCTTCTTAACAAGGCTTGTATAATTTGCTATCAGATACCTAGAGGGTGACTCAAAGTCTCATGATAGCCATTGTGAAAATATGAGCTTGGATAGAGTTAGATGTTAGTCAAAAAATTCAGTATTTGAAATTATGCCAATCTATGTACAAGTAATGGACAATAAGCATAAATCTTATGAAGGCAAAATTTTAAAAAAACTATCTGTAGAAGGAATTTTTGGCATAGATGGGAAAATACCCATCATATAGACAGCTCCTTGCCTAACAACTTATATTGTATTTCTTAAGAAAGATCAATTAAAGTGGCATTTATTTCAAAAGAGCTTATTAGTGCCATTACTGTGCAAATGCTTTTAAAACTACCAGTAGAAAATCAAGCAGGAGGTAAGGACGATTGTAACAATTTGTTTGATATATCATATATAAAGAAGACAAACATTTTACAATTTGGGTTTCTTTTATATTTGATGAGAAAGGGAGAATATTTCACTTGGTTGGAAACAGAAATGCTTATGTTTCTCAAAATGGTGAAACATCTGTGATTGAATTGTTATCCTTATGTATGAGAAAGTGCAATAATTTGAAACAGAATTTGGAAATGTAGTCAGATTGGTCATCTAATTGTCACATGGAATAGTGCCCAGTACTTTCAGTATTTTTACATTATCACAGGGCTTGAGGGAGTATAATGAAAATATTCCAGTCTATTAACATTTAGTCCTGTTAACAATGATTATGGTTATCAGTGACAACGTTAGGTCTCACTTTGCCAGTGCTATGAATGAGATTGTCACTTTTTGGACATGGATATTAAACACATCAAATTTTTAAGTCGAAGATCGAATGCCTCTATTTTACTGACCCATTGAAATTATTATTCAGAGCCCTTGAACCTTATGCTACAAGGTCAAGGAAATATAATCATGGCTCCAGAGGAGGCAATAATATTTAAATTTGATTTAGTATTTACTATTTTCACTGAATATACAAAGACATGCAGATCAGCACATTTCAAATGATTATAAATGTTTCATGACTCATGTCATAGAAAACTGACAGATTTAGTTAAAAAGTTATTTGCAGTGGTTTGCGAAATTTCATCCTTGCCATCACTGTGACAGCCATACTACAAGTCTCTTGTCTGGGCACTGAAGCTTAAGCAGGTTGCTTAAGTGAGGAATTCTCACTGTGTGTGGTTCTCTGCAACCTTCTTTTCACCTTGAATTTCTGTGTGTCACCTACTCGTCATGCAAGATTTAGGTGTGGCTCCCTGTAGAAAACTGTTCTGATCATTTTAGCACTTCATCTTCTATAGCTATCTTTCATACCGTATGTACAAGGATGTTTCACTTTTCACTTTCAAACCTGTCTCCCTCACTGTTAAGTCCATGATGGCCAAAGATTGTCTTATTTATTTTTACATTACAAGCTCCCAGCCCAAGGGCTGTGTCCGTAAGTGTCTGATGCAATAGTGGAAGTTTAATTGCAGAGTAGACTTACTGATCAAAGATAAACAGCAGCAGGAGGTGATGTACAGTGAAGGCAAGATTAATTGCATAGCAGTAAATGATCGGAGTTAAGCAGGACTGGTGGCAGTGAAAGAGCCTGGGGGAAATATCCCAACAGTATAGGGGTAACATGGCAGGGAGATAAAGGGAGGAGTTTGGTAGGGACAAGAAGTAAAATGAGTACGAAAATTTCTCATAGGAAAGAAAAGTACAGAGGGACAAATGAAGTTGTCAAAGGATGGGTTAGATGAGCACTTAATAAGCAATGAAAGATTTTGCTGTGGTTTTAGAAAATGATGATAGTGTTTGGAAAAACAATTTGTCCTAAATAGATGATGTTGGAAACAAGGAAAGATTGTTTTAATATATGCAATTTGAATTGAAGGTGACAATGTAAGCATATGCATAACTGAAGTCTTAAATTGAGTGAGTAGCCGATGGATGGAATATGGAAGATGTGTGAGATAAATGAGGTTCAAATTGCATATTGATTTTTATAAACATAGTGTTGCACTTGGATTTGCAAATGTCTCCTTAATATGCCTTAGGTAGAGTAAAGGGGATGTGTGATAGAGCTGTGCATCCTGACTTTATATGTATGTATTTGCATATTTTTAACAATTGCAAGTGTAAATACTCTAGTGTGAATTGTTAGTTAGGGGTCTTGCTTGTCAGCATATAGATGACAAATATGTGCATATAGGTGACAAGAATAATCAATTCTAAGAACTTGGGAGTACATACGATCATGCTGTATGTGATCATGTTGTCTGGGTTCACTGTCATATTTTCACTCACCTTTAGCCGGGAGGTAGTTTTACCTTTTAGTATCTCATCAAAAGCAGTTTGGGCTACAATTAGTTGAAGCTTGTCACAGGGCTCTATTCAGCAGTTTTTAACCAGTCCTTACACATTTTAAAGCAACCTTATACATTTTATATTTATGTAATAGAACCTAAGGTTATAAGCATTCATTTGTTATTATTAATAATTTTACATTGTGTATTTTCAGAATTAGAAATAAACATGCTGACTTTTCAGCTACTTCTCTATTTTGATA